GCTCCAGCAGATGGCCCAACTATCAGCTCCTGCTCCTGATTCGGAGTATGCCTTCGAGACCGACAGCAGCGATCCAACGGAAACAGAAATATACATTTGCCAAGATAACAGAGGACATGGACATTGCATCAGGTGTGGCACTTGCATGTCATAGCGGAAGAATTGGCCGGGTAACCTGCAGGATAATCAACGAATTGGACGAGGGGCGATATGAATTGGATTGTAAGAGCGGGGCTAAGACCAATAACATGACACTCTACAGGCCGACGCGCAATAATCCGCGAGGCAGGCCATCGCCCCATGATGCGGGGGAACCCGCCGCTCATTCCAGCGCGGGGGCGCCCGCTGAGAGACCGCTCAAGGTCCTGGCGCCCGCGCGGAGAGAGAAGCTTGGCGAGGAGACGGGAGTTGATTTGTCTGGATCACCAAGTTCCCCAAAGTCAAGGTCACCAGCTCCAGCGCCACCCGCGCAGAAGAAATGAACTGGCTCAGCAGAGGCCGACCCTGGAAGTAATCAACCACAAAGAGCTGCGGGGGAACCTGCCCGCAGACGACGCCCCAGGGGGCCAGCGGCGGCTGCCGCGGCGTCAGCGTTCCAGGGCGGCAGCGCGCCCGAGCGAAGGGAACCTGTAGCCCTTCGCGGCCCCGCGCCTGGCAGGCCCCATAGGGGGGCTGGCTGGGCGCCATCAGTGGAAGGTGCATCCAGGGCACGCCCCTCGCAGCCAGATGACGATGAGACGGCGCCCCAGACTGCGTCCAAGGCATCAATCAGGCTGCAGGGGCCGCTCCGAAGATTGCCAGATGCCATCCGCAGCACCAGCCGCGGGCACCCGCTGAACCGTCATTTGCGTCTGCGGTGCAACCTGCTACTATTCCTTAATTAAACAATGGAAGCGGGCGGCTCTGGGAGTCCCTGGGCACTCCTCAGCAGATGATGGTCGGCCCAGCATACAAACCCCTCGCCGACGTACTGCCGCGCACGCTGATGCAGGTGCTCTCGAACGCCAGCGCGTCCGCAACTATTTGCGGGCACAGCCTGCCCTTGGCTGCAGCTCTGAGGCCGAATACCTGTCGAGGACGCTCTACAGTGCGGACGAGAGTTCAACGCTACCGAAGGAAAGAGATCAGCGCCACTGTAGAGAGTGGCTCACCATAGCCACTCGGCACAAGCCATTTCACATAGACAAGGTCTCGTCTCGGTTTACGGACAGTGCCACCTCGTTCGACGAGTTCGACGGCTGGGTTGGCCTCAGAGACATGCAGGAAAATTGACCACCGAAGAGACACGAAGACTGGCACGTTCATCACCTGGACGCCATCGAGACATGCATTCGAGGTAGGCACTGGGCATGCCAAGGACTAGCCGTGCCTAGAATATTCGAGACGGTCGACAATTCTGGCATGCAGGAGAAACGACTCCAGGTAAAGAAGGCTGAATTATGCGGGGAAGCCCGCCCGACGCATTTCTTGCGGCACAGCAGTGGACGCAGCAGCCCAGGCATCAAATGTCCAGGGTCACTGTGCTCTCGAGTAACATACCTGACTGAACCGTGAGCGCCGCGCTACTTCACGCACGGGACCCAATGGGCGAGCATCCCGAACATATTGCACGTCGGTCTGTCCTGCCGTAACGACGACAATCCTCAAGGGGCGGGCAGGCAGATGATCCATGGATGCTCGTACTTACCTGGACATGGTCGGATTCACTCAGGCTTGCGGATGGACTCCGACGATTTGATTTTGGTGAGCCTCAAGAACCTGTTTCGCGACAACATCCCGGTCTAGTGGTCTGCCAGCGACATCATCATGAGTTCGGGTGCCAGCGGCCGGATCCCAGTGAGTCACCTTGTCCAACTTATCGGCATCCATCATAACGCTGTCCAGTGCATGTACGACCGAATTGGGCAATAATGGGCCAACGAATTGTATATTGACACTCAGCGGGGTGACCCGTCAAGGTCCAAGTTTGCACCGAAGGAGTGGTTCGAGTGCGCATTCGGTCTTTCCACGCTAAAGGGGCGGATGGTGCCGTGCACTCCCTGCAACCTGCGTGTCCCCATGCTGACACCTACGTCGGAGGTGCAGCATACCTCGATATTCATGATGCAAGAGGTGCATCAGGCAGGGGCACCTGCAGGCCGCTCGGATGGATCCCGAATTCAAGCTCAGAGCGCCGATGCGTCTGGCATGACGCCCAGTGGAGTTACGCCGAATGACGAGCTCTATGCGAAAGACCCGCGGCGTAACCAGGCACGACAGTTGCCTGCACCTGCGGGGCAACCCGCTGCATTCGCGCCCATGGGCAGGACCGCGACCCCATTTGGCACCCCACAGAGTGCCGGGAGCACACATAGCTTGCAGGCCAGACCTCAAAGCATCAGGATGGTTCCACAGCTCTACCAAGCCTTGCAGGCCACATCGCCCTTTGCATCTCCACGTGCTGCCGCGGTGCAAACTGCCGTCGCGGGCCAGGAGGCTGCCCGGGGGACCGACGGCCTATTGGTTGCGGCAGTGGATGCACAGGCAGATGCAAGAGGCCATGGAGAGCATGAGGCGGGATGGAAAAAAGTTCCCGAACGCCGACTGGACTCCGCCTTGGGGGTGTGTTCCGGATGTTAACCCATCGCCGCCGTCTAAACAGGTATGGGTACACGCCAGCGTTTTTCAGCCGTCCGATCTATGATCCGACGGCCGCCGAGAGACCAGTGGCACCACGCATGGATTCAGACCCAGATTTGCTCCAGCACGCGCAAGAACAGCTCGGCCGAGTAGCGCCTCGGGCCGAGCGGGGCCTTCTCCAAATGCGTCCGACATGGGGCGGCAGCGAGGGCTCTCATATCTGAAGTTGCACGCGTCGTGGACGAAAAACGCCTGCCGAAGCGCCGCAGCCTAACCTCCGGCGCGAACTTGCCTCCGACCCCGCCGAAGCGTCTCGCCGCATTCGCGCGGGCGGCGCGGGGGGCGCGGCGACCTTGGCCGGGGCAGTTGGCGCAAAAATGCGGGGGGCGGTCGCCCGTGGCGACGCGCTCCCCGAGGCCCTCCTCGCAGTCGACGGGGGGCCCATCCTAGAAGAGGAGTTCGCCGACAACGCGCTCGCGCGCGCGTCGATCCAGGTTGCGAAACCAGGCCAGCGCGACGACGGCTGGCACGCAGACGGCGGCTGCCCCTTGCTTCTTGCGTCCGCGGCGCTTGTCGGGGCCCGCGCCGCGCAAGTGCGGATGGGCGGGGGGGCGAGAAGAAGTCGATTTCGCGCAGGAGTCTGCGCGGGGAACCTGTGCGCGCTGGACCACGACGTGCGCCGCCACGAAGAGTGTTCGTACACTTTCGACCCAGCTGCTGCAACGGCGCAGGGCCACGCTGAAGCAGCAGCAGCCGACAGCTGGCTGCAAGTCGCCGCCATGATCCGCTCCTGCGCGTTTCGGAATGTGAGGGCACGCAAGATCAATGCCACGCTTGGCCGAGTAGTTGGCCGAGATCCCAGTGCGTCTCCCTGACCTAATGGCGGCGCTGGCAGTAGCATATCGGGCCGATCTTGTGAATGGTGGTCTCACCGATTAGGCCCAATGCGACGCTGGCCTTGCTGGCACAGTATGAACTGCGGATGATTCACAAACGACTCAGGCCCTTTCCACCTGCCTTCCCCCATCCTCCGCCGAAGGTCGGTGCTCATCCGGCGATCCGGGATAATGATGATGATGACGACGATGATGATTGATGACGGTAGTGCGAGGAAGAGGAGGTGATGATGCTGATGATGATGATGATGATGTTGATGACGATGGTGATGATGCTGATGCTGATGATGATGATTGAAAGGAATGTGGATATGAATGGGCGACGGAAAGCTTTCGAAAACCGGTCGCGTCAATTGAGTCGACAAAGCCCGTATTACCGACAGTCAGAAGAGGAAAACGAGGAGGAGGAGGAGGAGGAAGAAGACGAGGAGGAGGAGGAGGAAGAGGAGGAGGAGGAGGAGGAGGGGGAAGAGGAGGAGGAGGAGGAAGAGGAGGACGACGACGCTGACGAACGCGAGGGAGGAGTAGGAGGAGGAGCCTCCTGCCACGCCGCCGCCGCCGCCTCCCCACCTTTTTCCCAGGATTCAGCATTTATCTGATCGATCCGACGCTATATGGACTCTAGCCAGTTCAATCCGATTAGGTTCCAGTGTTCCGACGAACCGACGCGGCCAGATGTCGCATGGCGGCCGATCCGATTCGATTCCGCCTCAGTTCCGAAACGGCCCGAACCGACGCGGATTTCGATCTGATCAGATGTCTTGCTTTGATGTTGACTGGTCATGCCCCACCGAAGACGACGACGAGGAAGGAACAGGAGGATGAGCCTCCCGCCACATCGTCGTTGCCGCCGCCCCTCCCCCCAGATTTTCGACGTCGTGATTTGTTCACAACGTGTATCGCCAGAGGTCTTGACGCCTTCCGCTGGGACGGGCCTTTCATCCAGCGCCGTTTTCTCACAGCCCCGAATCCTGTCAATGGCCTCATAGAGTCGAAAATTTCAAAACCACAAGAAATACGATGTCGTGTTTGGTTTTGTTTTCAAAGGACACGATGGGGCTGGGATCCCGCAAACATGATCCGCTGAAGATCGGTCCTCAAACCCCTCCTGGGGCCCAACATGGAGAAGGACCTCGATCCTCGGACTTCGATTTTCCGTCGTGATTCGATCAGGCGCGGGCACTCCGACGATGTGAGCTTTTTCAGTGCGCGGCCGCCGAGGTCCCGACCCCTTCGTTCGGGGTAGTTTCGCCGCACGAGAGCCATTTTGAATGGTCCTCGGGACCCGATGACCGGCTCCAGAGGCCGAAAACGCCAGGGTAAACAAGCAGCAGTACTTCGGACGTCTCGGGGGGCGGGGCCTACAACAGCATGCGGAATTTGTTTATCTGGGCCCGAGGACCCGCCGCGCTGCCCACTACTGGGCCGTCCTTGGACGTTCCGCGTGTCCGTCTGTCTGTTTGGGGGGGCGGGGCCCCCCCGAAGGCGGGACCTGTTCCCGGGCCAGGGCGCCATCCGCGAGGAGGCCGCCTACATCATCGACCGCCTCTGCGGCGGCGTGGCGGGCCTGCCGATCACTGCGCGCACGACCCTGGAGGCAGGCCTCTCTTCCCCTCCCTGCCGCGGGCGCGGCTGGAGGGCGAGGCGGTTTGAGGATCGAGGCTCGGGGATCGAGGCTCGAGGTGTTTGGACCTTTCTGGTCTGGCCAGAACGCACCTCGGGACGGGTCCAGGGGGTCGAACATTGCCTGGATGAGGCGGATAAGGACACAGGAGCTTTCGGGGAGGGTCGGGTGTTTTCGTTGGCTCGTGCAGGCCTTCTCGCCTCAGGATGCTCTCCAGCAGCTGCGCCTCGCTGAGAGCATTGAAGGGGTGACCGAATCGTTTCCCACATTCCTTTCTCGAACGACCGCCTGAGGCCTGCGTTGTGGCATTTTACGAGCTTCCTCGTCGCCACAGCTGAATTCGCCTGGGAATTCTTGCCAAACCCACCGGGGGAGAGGTCTCGTGGCCGAAAATCGGCACCCGGCCAAGCAGTCAGAGAGCGCGCGGTTGAGGGAGAAGGATCTTTCCGCCCCGTGCACGGCCGCGGCCGCGGGCAGTGGCAGCCGCCCAGCGCCAACGTTGAGGGTGCACCAGGAGCACGCGCACTCGCATGCCAACAACATGGCTAGATCACAGCAGCTTCAGCTTTATCGCCACGTCCCCGTGCACCGATTTCCCATCTGTCAACTTGTTGAGCGCAGCCGCAGCTTTCCCCGAGGGAGCCTGACACTCGCGGGCGAAGCTCGACGCACTGCGCGATCCCAGCGCGCCACAGGTGAGGCAGACGACGACAGCATCTTACGCACCAGCTGCTGCTCGCTTTGCGGCCGCACCCTCACGAGGCGGTGCGGCCGGCGCACGCCGCTGCGATGGGCGGCGTTCAGGTCGAGGGTTGCCGCCAAGATATTGCCCAGGCCGACTTGATTCCATCCAGCGGCACAGCGCACACCACCGCTTGCCCGCGGGCCCGTGCAGCTGGCACTGCAGCGGCGGCGCCACTGGGGCAGCAGCCACGGCGTGCGGCGCAGTGCGGTTGGCGTTGCCCTTGCGGTGCGTGGTGTCGGCGCCACCCATCGCCGAGCCAACCGAGGAAACTCACACCGCTACTCCCTCCACTATCCTCTCGCCGTGGAGCAGCTCAGGCCGCTTGCGTGAAGAAGCCTCGCATGGGCCGCCGCCGACTTGGCCGCTTGTTGCGCCAGCTTGTTGCGCCGCGTGCATTGGGCTTTGAGCCAGTGGATCGCGAGGTCCTCCGCGGTCAAGCCCCCGAACTCGTCGACGAGCCGCGACACCTCCCTCCACAAGTGCGACCAGGCGTACACGTGCGAACGCGTGCGCTCCCGACAGCCTACCGTGAGGCCCAGGAACACGAGCTTGGAGTTGACCACGGCGGTGATGGGCGGCACCGCGTAGCGCAACGTGGCGAGGACCGCGCTCAACTCGCCACCATTGCTTGCCATGAAAGGGCCAGTCATCATGCCCGAGACTCCAGTCAAGAAGACCTCGCAGTCAGACAGCGGCGCGATGACGGCCGGGCCCACGCTCGTGAACTGGGATTGCTCGCCCTCGAGCGTAGAGCCGTCCAGGAGTAGATCGCCAGATGGCTGCACGCCGTCGCCGTTGCCGAACCAGCAGACCGCGTCGGACCGTGGTGGCTTCACGAGCCCTTCCTGCGCTGGCCACAGCGCCCGCTCCAGGAGGCAGTGCACCTCGGGAAGGTCATCAGCACGCTGCCGCGGTAGCCGCAAGCGCTCGGGCAAGCGCAGCACCTCCAGACATCCTGCGCAGTCGCAGTGCCAGTGCAGCAGCGTGCCAGGCTCTCCGCACAGCAAGCAGTCCTCATCTTGCGCAATCCTTGCGCAATGCTTCCACTGACCATCGGCGACAACCAATGCTAAGTAGCCGCGTTCTGAGGGCGTGAGCCGCACAACCGTGCCAGCAGCATTATGTGGGCCCTATTGGCCAGCGCCCAGCATCACGCCGGCGCTCTGTGATCTTGAAAGCTCCTTGGCAGCACCGGGAAGGTTACCGAACCCCCGGGCGGCACTGCAACGTCACCGCCCTCCGCGACCTGCGCTTGCACGTTGTTGCTGTAGACACCCTTGCGGCTAACGGCGCCTGTGTAAGTCATGCGAACCAGCGGCTCCAGTAAGCCGCGGTCGCGAAGGTGAGCCAGCTCGGTCTTTTTGGCCATTTGCTGCCATTGCTCAGCCCCGACCGCACGCCGCAGCAGACGCTTGACCAGCCATGGGCTCACCGCGAGCACTTGCAGGAGTTCGCCCCCGTGCGTGCGCCACGTAGCCGCGTCGATGGCCGTCCAGCCGATCCGATCCGTCGTCATGTGAAACGCAGATAACGGTCCGCGAACCTGAAGCCAGGAGGCGGCACCGCACTGCATCATGCCGGAGTCGATCACATGCCGCGGCAGACAGCCTTCCAACGGAGCCCGCAACAGCGCCATGACAGGCAACACAGTGGCACGGCACATGGGGCCCACCATTCTGGACAGCATGAAGGTGAGAGTCGGAGACCAACCTGCAACGGAAGGCACCATCGCGGAGAAAACGCGCGACCGCTTTTTGTCCAGTTCGCCCGTGGCGCAGCCCGTGACGCTGAATCCGTAGGACACGCTCGCCTCCAGACTCGAGCGCGCAATCTTCCCAGTCGCAAGCTTGCGGCCGCATCCCACCTTCAGGATGTTGACGGATGCGGAGCCACACTCACCTGCGCACGATGTGCTTAAGTCAATACCACGGGATGGATGGATCCGCGGTATCGGGCCTGAAGGGGCTTTGGAGGCAACAAAAGGAAACTCCGATATGGGGTTCGGCGTCGGTCCTGTTTTGGGCAGTTGGAGTCGTCGTGTTTGGGTTGGAGTTGGCGCCAGCTCCAACGCCATTCCTCAAGTTTTGTTTCTCATGGACCGAAGTATTCTCGCCGCGCCCCGAGAGGGCCGTAGCATTCTCATCACGGGCCGAAGTCTCAGGCGAAGACGACCCCGAGGATGCGGTCGCAGATTGCGCGTCCACAGGACGACGAAGGCGACGCTGGAGGGTCCTGACGGGCACGCGGCACGTTCGCCAAGGCCCTCGGCTTCTTCACAGCCGCGCAGAGGTCCACCCCCTGCAAGAGCCCCTTCAGGCGAAAGGCAGCATCTGCCATTCTGAGCCGCCTCAGATACACTCACCGACCAACATCGAGTCGAAGGAGGGGTTATATATTACAGGTGGAACGGCCGGACCACGCGCCGACCATTAAGCACATTGCCAGCGCCCGTGCACATCTGGCACCCATGGACGAACCAGTTAGTTGGTCCTCCCGTTCCTCCCCGCGGGCATGGGCACCCCGCGGAGAGCGCTGGGTCAGGAAACGCGTTGGACTAGGTCCGCAAGAGTAGCTGCCCCGGTCTTGCTTCGCACTGCTCGCAAGGCACATCGCGCGAACTAGTTCACTTCCGCTCCTCTGCAGAAGACACCACCGCCGCGGGCCCCATCGCCCTGCAACCGCCCTTCCGCGAGATGGATTCGCCGCCCGACCGTCCGCGGAGTCTGAGCCAGGCGGACGGATGGAGAAAACGAGGTTAGAGGGACCTCCATTCTTCTCACCAGACAGCTCACCGCCGAGTCGCGCCGACCTCGCGTGGCTTCGCCACGGCCTTGCCCCGCGGCTCTTGGGGCACTTGCGCGGCGTCGTCTGCGTTTTTGTTCCCCCCATCGTTATCCTCCTCTTCCGGGCCAGCAGCAGGCGAAGGCGAGATGCAGTTCATGAGGTTGACGAGTCGGCGCGAACACCGCGGCTCGGAACCCCCGCGGGCCGCGCTGCCCCGACGCTCGAGGGGCGCCGAGTGAACTGCCGGCGCGACGTGCAAACTGGCCGCGAGCAGCGGGGCGCAGCGACGCAGGCTTCGGAAAGGGGGGCCGACCTGTTCAGGCCCCCGAACGCCCGCTCCGAGCCGCTCGGATCGATCGGGCGGCGCCTGGGCGCCAGACACTGTGGACAGGCAGTCCTGGCCCGGACTAGGCTGCGTCGCGCTCGTTCGCGGGAGCGCCGGGGCGCTCGGATAGGCAGTTTGGGATTGGATCGGGCCACTTCGCGCTCGGATGCACAATCTGCGCCGGCGCAAGCTGGAACGCGCGGGCGCGCAATGCGGGCCCAGATCGGGGCGCGTCGCGCTCGCGCGCGCATTCTGCGCGCTGGGGCGCCGGCGCGCCTGGGCGCGCAATCCGGGCCCAGATCGGGCCACGTCGCGCTCGGGCGCGCAATCTGCGCATCGCGCTCAGACGCTCAGGCCCCCACCCCCGAGCCAATTGGCAATCTGGGCCCGCGCCGGGCCGCGCCGCGCTAGGGCGCGCGCGCTGCGCCCACGGAAGCGCGGACGCGCAATCTGCCCCCGCGGAGGCGCCAGAACGCCCGGGCAGGAAATGTGGTTCAGTTCAGGCAGCGCCGCGCTCGGACTCGCAACCTGCGCCCGCGGGGCGCTGGAACGCCTGGGCGCGCAATCCGGGCCCGCGTCGGGCCGCGTCGCGCTCCGACGCGCCCCCTGCGCCGGCGCGCTCCGCGGCGGGCGCGGCCCGACCGAGCGCCGGCGCCCAGATGCACGCCCCGCGCCGCTGAGCGAACGGGCGGCGCCCGGGCGCCAGGGATTTGCTTGCGTCGTGCCCCGCGCCTTCCCCAGCGAACGGGCGGCGCCTGGGCGCCGCGGGCCTGCCTTCATCATGTCCCGCACCTTCCCGATCGAAAGGGGCGGCGCCTGGGCGTCGCGACGCTGCCTGCGCCCGCGCAGTCCGCAGAGGGCGCCGGCCGACCGAACGCCGGCACCTGGGCGCGCGCCCCGCGCCTGCGAGGGCGAGCGGGCGGCGCTTGGGCGCCGCGGGGCTGCTCGGCGCAACGCGGGCGCGCCGGCGCGCCCGCGCAGGCCGCGGCGCAGGCTGCGGAAGGGCGCGCGCTGCAGCCGCGCTGAGCGGATGCCCAGCACCTGTCTGACCACGTTGCTGGCGCTCGGGCCGATCGGCAGCGCGCCATTGCTGTCGACCCGCCCGCGCAATGTTCGAACCCCGACCGTCGTCTTCGAAAGCGTTTAAATCATTATGTCTCCAAGGGGGTCTCGGGCAATTGCGCTGCGGTTGACGATCAAGCACTTCTCCCCAGCTCCGCGATTGCTGCCAGCAGCGCCGCCAGCCGCAAGTCCTTGTTGCCAGACGCACTGGGCATTTGAGTGCATAGCGAGCCGCCTCGAGTCATCGGCCCCATCGGAGAAGTGGCCGCCAGGCGGCTTCGAGACCTACTTCCTCGTCTCGCGGGCGCAGGCTCGAGCGGCATTCAAATGTTCCCAAGGTGTAGCTTGAACGCCGTTGTGCGACGTCGGACTCGAAGCGCTCGCGCTTGAAGACTGACGCGGGGATGCGTTGGCGTTGATGGATCGCCCCCGTGACTCATCCCTCAACCCCCCAACCCCCCAGCCGGATTTCTTTTCTTCTTTCCGCGGGGGGTCAACCTTCGCGGCGACCCGTTAAACCCGGGACCCCTGGCGGCGCATGGATTTCTTTCCTTCTCCCCCGCGCGCGTTGCCGTTGGAACCCCTGAACCCCTCCGACTACCGTGCAACTCGTACTTGAGTAAAACTGGTACTATCATGTCCTATATCGGACCACTACACTAAGGGTTTCGAATATATTGGGTTTCCAATATAGTGGGTTTCCAATATAGTGAGTTTCAGATATATTGCGTTTCCAATATACTGGGTTCCCAATATATAAGCCCGAACCCGAACCCAAACCTCACCGGCTGTAATTCAGTTGTTCCCGTACTAATACAAATCCCTAGTGCAACCGCGATTAAGGTGTTGTTGCATTGCACTTACAGTCTCGGCTCTCACGCTTTTCTTCCTCTGGTTGCGCTTGGGGGGGTGGGGCCCCTCGCGCGGG